CATTTGCTAATTATATATGGTGTATGGGAATGATATTCTTGTAAGAGTAAGAATTATATGTTATATATAATATTATGATATATAAATAAATATATCATATTATAATCAAGAAAACAATAAAGATAGGTTACTATTTTTCCATTTAACATTGTTATTTTTGAAATGATAAGTGGACTATTTAATGGGCTGCAGAAGGAATGTAAAAGGCAGCATGAGTGTAAAAGTGATCTTCGCTATAAGAGTGACAAATGGAGAGACGGTGGATCGAAGAGGCCGGAATCAATGGCTTTTTACCCTTAAATCATGTGCCTATCATATCTTTCAGATTGCATTTTTCAATCACCAATATTTTTTAATTTTGGAAAAGAATCCATTTTCAAAATTCAAATAGATATTTTTGTATAATTCTATAAAATAACATGATTGCAAGAGATCATAAAATCTGTATCGTGGTGTATTTCTATTATCTTGGTTGTGGTACACTTAGCTGAATCTTACGCGACAGATAATGCATACATAAACCATGCATAAACAAGTTATGCACAGTAACAAATATGCTGATATGTCTATGCACGCACATGGTGCTCCTTATCCTGCTACACATAACTTTTGTTTGGTTTATTTAATATCATTGTTTGAATGTATGTGAAAATAAACTTGCAATCTTTTAAATCTATACCAACTAAGTTGTTTGTTTTTTTGGAAAAAACTTTTTTTTGATTACTTATGTCTACAGCGTCTACAGAATCTTGAAATGTATTTGTTTTTTCAAATCCACAGATGTCAAAACGTTTGCGCGTCAAAAGACTTGGACCAATGTTTTCCGGTGAGAAGACCTCACAGACCTCAATTAAACAAAAAAAGGAAAAAGAAAAGAAAATATATGAACCCACGTTAAAACAAACACTGACGCATCCTCTCACCGATTTGTTCTTCTCTATGCATTCTTCTCGGAGCACCAACTTTGTCGTCATCTACCTGTGTAGCCACCGACAGTGCCTCTGTCTTCGTCGGAGCCTTGTATCATGTAATTTTTCCGGTTTTTCTTTGGTCTTGTTGTGTTCAAATTTCTGTCTTTCTTTTGAAATTTATGTATCTAATATCCAATTTCATATCCATCTTCATGTTTGTATCAATGTTATGATGTATGAATTTTGAATGATAGTTGAAATACGATTATAGGTGAAATCTGATTTTATATAAATAAGTAAAAGCAGATGCTAAAAACTTAAAACATGTCAATGATAGTTGAAATTTGATTATATGTTTATTGCTTTCCAACCGTTATCAATGTTTATAGGATTTTATGAACTTGAAATCCGATTTTTTGAACTTGAAATATGATTTTATGTAGATTACAAAGATAGTTGTTTATACGAAGATTGATACATGATAGTTGTTTATATGATAGTAAATAACACAAATGTCAATAATTTTACATCAAAATTCTAATTTGATTGCTATGTTTTTTTTATCTCAAATTTGACAATATGTTTTCCTATTTGTTATAATTTTAACTACTTGATCCGTCAACCCGGTTACCTACTCATATGACATGTCATATCAGTTTTTGATCATGTGACATGTTGATATGTCAAACTTGAAATTTTTCCACAAGAAATACTATGTGTTCATTTTTTTCAATTTTTGACAATAACTTTTAATTTTTTTCCTAATCGAACATCATTTTTCCAATTTTGTTCAATGTTCACCATTTTTCATTTGAAACAGTGTGTGTGTATATATATATATATATATATATATATATATATATATATATATATATATATATATATAT